TCAGCCTTTTCTGCCTTCTTCTTTTGCTCTTTTTCTCTGCTCTTCTTCACGTTCTTTGAACTGGTCAGACCTACTTGACTTGTCTTACCTTGTCCTTCAAGTTCTCTGCCCTTCTTCAATGTTTATTGCTCTTCTGCTCTTCTCTGCCATTCTCTGTCCCCTCTCCACCCCCTTTTTGTAGGGATCCCCTCTTCAACCACCAGTGTTTGCCCTTCTCTGCCTGTCCCTGTCAGTATTTCTTGTTTGGCCTCTCTGCTCCTTTCTGCTTGTCTTTGCCCTTCTCTGCCACTTTCCACTGGTCTCTATCCTTGCTTCACCTTGCTTTGTCTGTCTTGCTCTCCCTATCCTTCAGACTTCTTTACCCTTTATGTCTGTCTCTCTCCGTGTTTCTACTTTGCCTTCTTTATCCTTCTATCTTCTTGCCCCATCTTCTCAGCCCATTTTTTGGCCTTTTCTGCCCTTCTTCGACCCTTCCTACCCTTCTTAACCCTTCTGCTCTGCTGACTTCCTTTTCCTTTGACTTTCTCCTCTGCTTCTCTTTCCCTTGAACCCTTGTCTCCTCCTTCTCATTCCACTCTATTACCCATCTGTCTTCACCCTTCTCCTTCACCCATCTTCTCTGCCCTTCTCTGCCTTTATTTCTCCTCCAGCCTTCTTTTCCCTTCTCCTCTGCCCTTCTTTTTTGCCTATCTCTGCCCATCTTTGTGAATCTCTTCTTTTGTCTGCCCTGCTCTGCCCTTCTTCTTTGACCTTCTCTGTCCTTTTCCTTTGCTCTTCTCCTATGTCCTTCTGCCCTTCCATCTCCTCTGTCCTTCTCTGCACATCCCCACTTGTCTTAGACCATCTCTATCTTCTCTGTCCCCCTTTCCCCCTTCTTCTTTCTTCTTTGGAATTCTTTCAGTGAAGAATTATGTTGAAGATGATAGGCTTGTTCAGGTAATACAAATCAGTTTCTTGTCTAACTGTATGTCAGAAGTTGATTGGATTTTTTTGGTAATTACTATTATTTTAGTAATTTATCAGAATTGGAACAATGTGTTCTAGTGTTTTAGTTTTTCAGTGGTGGTAGACGATTTTTTCTGAGTTTCTTATAATATCAAGGGAATACAAACAGGTTTGACTTCAATTACTGTTATTTCCGTTTATTATTATGCCAGGCAGTGTCTGAGACATCAGACTTGGTGATCCTATATAGTGCAGCTCTGGATAGAAACATAATGAAATCCTACAATACAGGAAATAATGGTTTTCTGATTAGCTGTGCGTGCATACAGGGCTCAGGGCTGCATGCACAAGATTTAGTTTGAGTTTGCTTTAGGAATGCAAGGAGGAGAAAGGAGAACAGATAAAAAAGTGTTTATTAAAATACATTTAATTCATAATTTTGGCCCAGTAAAACAAAATTTTAAGGGAAATGGAAGCAGAAATAGTAACTAAAACGTTACATGAAGTCCTGTTTTATTGATGACTGCTTCACTGCTGTTCCTGAGGTAGTTTAAGAAAGACTTCTCTGTTACCCCTCTATTCCCCCTTCCTTTCCCCCGTTTCTTTGGGTTTGGGTTTTTTTGGTTTGGGTTTTTTTGGTTTGGGGTTTTTTCCTTGCCTGTTCTAGTTTTTGTTAATTGAAAAAGCTATTGCTGATAGCAAACTATTAAAGTAGTGTTGCCATCTTTCTCATCCTTATACTGCTACTTAAACTTGTTCTGGAAGTCTCTTGATATGTAGACTGTGGTGAGATTTCTCCCTTGGATGAGTTTATGGTAGACTTACTGCAGCCTTAACTATGATACCTTTTTTTT